GAATTTGTTTATTTATTTAACAAAACTATTCCTTTCTGCAATTTCCAGTCTGCTGCCGTGATTTTATTGGCTGTAAATAGTTCCTGTTTAACAATAATATTTGATAAAATCTTAAATTTGGTAATCAATTTTGACTTTCTATGAGCCAACTATTCTTATATATCTTTGCTACATATGTTCTTATTCATAGTTGTAGTGAATGTATTTTGAGATGAATAGTGATCTCTCAGAGAAGGTTTTTTTTGTCATTAGTGTTTTAAGTGCTATGTGTAACTTTTCAACATTTGATTATTCCAGAGCACGTTGTGTTACTATTACACATTGGTTTTATAGATTTCCAGTTTAGGCTCATTTGAACATGTGGGTGATTGGCTTACTTCATCCTTTCCTTGTGCACATTTGTGTTTTGGTTTAATCTATTTTGAAAGATAAATCATATTTCCAGTGGATTGCCATTTTTTTTTTACCAAAAGCTTTATTGGGACAGAAATGTTGGTACTTTGCTAGAACAGTGATTAATGTGGGAGTAACAGTGGTGTCTAGGTGCTACAGTACTGTATGTCTTTCCGCGTTAATGTTTACATTATGCCCTGTTTCTACCGCTGTCTGAGGGCTATGGCAGAGTAGTGGTCCCGCCAAATATATTTTGCTTTTTAATCAAAGGTGATGCCGATAGGAAAATGTGCCCTTTAATAACAAACAAAAAAAGACAGAAAAAAATAAATTAATTAAATATGCAGCATAGCAAAATCATCAATATATCTAATATATATTACACGAGAAACACAAATATATATATATATATAAACATTCATTCAGAGTAGAAGCCTTCATAATCTATTAAGCAAATATGCTTTTGTGTTAATCTCTGGCCTAAAAATCATTATGTAACATTTTTGAAAAAATATACAGACTAAGAGTCCAGCATTTGAAGCCAATATAGTAAAAACCTCTACAGCCACCATGTATTTCCCTTTGGTGCTCAGATAAGCTGGGATCATCGCAATCCAAACACTGCAGAACACCAGCATGCTGAAAGTTATGTACTTGGCCTCATTAAAGCTGTCCGGCAATGTCCTGGCTAAATAAGCTGCAATAAAACTAACAGCTGCCAGAATCCCCAGGTAACCCAGGACAGAGTAAAATGCAATAACTGAGCCTTCGTTACACTGAATGATGATCTTTCCTATATAAGAATAAGTGTCTGTCTCCTGAAAGGGGGGAGAAATAGTCAACCAAATTATACTAATTGTAACTTGAACAGAGGAAAAGAACACGACTATAGTATTGGACAGTTTGACTCCAATCCACTTTTTCCACACACTGTTTGGTTTGGCGGCTTTGAAAGCAATATAAACCATGATTGTTTTGGCCAATACAGTTGACACAGCTACCGAGAAGATGATTGCAAAAGATATTTGACGGAGAATGCAGGTTATATCCACAGGACGTCCAAGGAATAAAAACACACAGAGATAGCTCAGCATGATGGAGACAAGGAGAATTAAGCTGAGGTTCCTGTTATTGGCTTTGGCAAGTGGTGTTTCCCAAAATGAAATAAAAATAAATATTATTAATATGGTTAACAAGCAAAACAGAACTGAGATTGATGCCAATATTGCAGTCAACACATCTTCCGTGTAGGAGAGAAACTCCACTAATTTGGGAATGCATCGATCTTGCTCCATGTTTGGCCATTCATACTCTGTGCATTTTATGCAGTTTTCACTATCTGAAACCAAGAGACACAGATACATTTATAATAATATAATAATTACAATATATATATATAAATAATAATATATTTAAATTGTCCGTTTGCCTGCACTCCAGTAAAATAATTGAATAGGGCCCGGTGCTTGTCCGCATAAATATATACAGGTTTGAAATGATAGCACTCCAAGGACTTATTAGTGGTGAAAAAGATAAAACTTGTATGCATATATATATATATATATATATATATATACACACACACACACACACACACATACATATACATACATACATACATACACACACACACACATCAGTCTCAGCTTTAAAAATACCTGCCTCAAACCCTGGTTTCTAGATGGAACATTATTACACATAAGCTTGATATAAACATCTGCTTATTTGTTCTCTACCTTCCTCGAATGCCCAAATCAGCCACTTTTGTGCTGGCAGCAAAGAATCTCATTGCAACCCAGTGGAAACAAAAACCTGTCCTATTTTACTACAACTCCAAGAAAAAAAAAGCCATCTATATTACACATATGAACGCATGTCCTTAGACGCCGCCCAACAATATAACATTTTCCAGGAGATCTACTATATATCTTGGGATTCTTTTTGGGATTACACGCCTGGTTTGTCATACTTATAATCATTCTTTTTCTTTTTTATCAAATTTTCTCATATTTTTTATTATTTAAAAAAATAAATAAATCCACATTATTATTCTTTATTTTTTGTCGCCCTTGGGCCCCAGCTGCATGTGAGCAATCAGGTATAATTATATTGGGATACAAAATATGCTAGAAACGGGATAATAAAATATATGTCCCAATGGTATAGCCAGTTAGACGGGACAGCCTTTGTCTAAGACATTTGTTCAGGCTCTATTTCCTGTACTGATGAATCCCATATCCCCCTTCTTTTATTATTATTGATATTTTTGTTATATTTATTGTGGTACTTTACCTTCTGGTTATGAAATATGCTAGATGTTCTTTATTAAATGAGATGCTTTAATTCCAACAATTGCCAGTGATATTGCTCGGTTTTTTGGTTGCAATATTTATTTATGTGTGCTAGTTCCTTGAAAGATATAATAACTCTCCATTTGTATTTAGTGCATTCTTTTTAGTATCTATTCCTTACAATCCCCTTTGCACTCTCATTTAAGGCTTAATAATAGAAATAACAATATTAATGTTAAACTCTTACATATATAGAACTGTATTGTATGTTGTGTTTGAACAATAAAGTTGGTTTTAATGATGTCACCACGCATGATGTGAGAACGCACGATGTGACATTACCACGTCATTATGTGTGTACGTTTAGGGGTGGGCCATTTCGTTAGTTACATTGGCCGCTACCATTATTTGGTATAAATGTTTAGTAATTTTACTCCTGCAACTAAGGCCTTCGAAGGGGCATTCCAGCCCAGGAAAACATGAGACAGGAGACGGTGACCGGACCGGATGGGGACTAACCTTCATCACCACTTATCTGATGAAGTGACACTCTTGAATACAGCATGCTTCATCGGTACACAATTGATTGGACCTCACTCTACATCCTAGATTTATAGCTCCAAAAGATCTGTGGTGAGATCCAACCAATTTTTTCACCTATTTTTCACCTTTTCTTTTACTTATATTTCATTTTTTTCCCCACAAATTTTTTCTGTCTGATCAGACTATCACTTGTTATTACTAATCAATTAGAGGTGGATCCCCCAGATATATGAACTACCAGCTTCATCTAAATAATATCCATAGGTGGTATATAGTTGTAAATACTTTGTATGTTTGTGGTCGTGGCAATATAGCCGTATATGGGAACATAGCATATAATAACATATCAATATTTGGAATTAGTCGGTTGTGGTGTGCCGAAACCGACAGAGGAGTAGGCCTGTAAAAGTGGGCCCACCTTAGAGGGTGTTTGTAATAGAGGGAGTGGTGGGTGGGTTGACTCGCCAGACCATTACGGTAATGTGGGAGTGGATTAGCAGCCTTTATATAGGGAAACCAAGCCCCTCCCACAACTACAGGCCAAGCCTTTTAATTTGTGGTCGTGGCAATATAGCCGTATATGGGAACATAGCATATAATAACATATCAATATTTGGAATTAGTCGGTTGTGGTGTGCTGAAACCGACAGAGGAGTAGGCCTGTAAAAGTGGGCAAAAATAAATTATCATAAGACGTAATACGTTGAGCAAAACTTTATTTAGATAAGTCACAGAAAGCTAGTCTTAATTCTTTAACAGGATTGGGTATGTAAAGAGTATAAGCGGAAGATTTCCAGCGTCCCATTGTTTTGATGATGTGCGGAGGAATGTGGTTAGCAGAAGCTGTAGATGCTGCTCCGATTCGAAAAGAATGACCCGAAAATTGACTAGGGTTCAAGCCGAGTCTAGTCAACAGCAGTCTTACATAGAGCATAAACTTTACTGTAGTTAGAACGTTACGGTGCAGTTCTAGCAAAGGTTGTAATGGTTGTTTGTGGAGTGATAGTAGATAATTGTCAAAATTTTGTACAGGGCACCATTTGTTATGAGTAGGGTATAAGGGGATCGTAACGGTATGACCTATGGCGCTGGTTTTTGAGTGTTTTAGCGTAAGTAGGTAATGGTCGTTCTGTTTCGCTAAGTCCATAGTTCTTAGGTAATCAGGGGACGTGATAGTCCTAGTTGTGAATTCGTTGGGACGGAGGAATCCATAAAAAGCAAGATATATGGCTGATTTTATTACCGTGTTTGTCCTGGGCTCAAAAGGAGAGGAATCTAACAAGTTTACTAGTGCATGAAATATGTGGTTATCAATAGGTAGTCGTTTCTCGGGGATATGTGTATCTAATTTCTTAATGCCTCTAAGAACTGTCTTGATTTGATATGAGGACAGGAAACTCGTGGCGTTGGGTTGTTAAATTAGCATGTGGTGTTGAATTCCCGTAAGGTATAGTTTTATAGTGTTAAATGATAGTTTAAGGTTGATGTGGCAAAAAGAAGTGAAACCCAATATTGCTTCTATCGTGAACATATCGTGAATGTGAAATTCAGTGATGAATTTTTTGAATATGTGAAAAGCTCTGTCGTAAGTGTTTCTAGTGTTTACAGAGAGTGCATGTGAGAAATGTGACGTGCGTGATTTAACAAAGCTTTTAATCCATTATCATGTCTGTGAAAAGTGGGACTAGAGTTGCCCGTCTGGAGGCGGTGGGTAGTGTCGTGAAGAATTCCTGAAAACGAAATCGAGACAAGTGATCAGCACTGATGTTTGTGCACCCTGGAACGTGAATACATGTTAGAAAGAATTGACAAGTGGCTGCTATCCATGTGAGTCGTCTCAATAGCCTCATAATTACCAGGGATGATGACCGGCCTTTATTGACAATATGGCAAGTAGCCATATTATCAGAATAGCACCTCACCGTGTGACCGGACCACTGGCGGCCCCAGGTAACGGCCGCAGCCACGATGGGGTACAATTCGAATAAAGCTGAGGTCTCTGTGAATTTTGTGAGTGATTTGACCTCAGTTGGCCATGGCCCCACGAGCCATAGGTCACCCCATATGGCTGCAAACCCCGTGTTTGCTGCAGCGTCTGTCCATATTGTAGGTGAAGTGTCTAAGTGAGATGGTATAAACATGGCACGCCCATTCCAAAAAGTGAGGAAAATCCTCCACATGCTCAAATCGGATGTCGCATGTTTGTCTAGTGAAATGTAAGATGTGTCTGAGGTGAATTGTGGAAATAATGATAGCAAATGTGAAATAAATGATCTCCCCTGGGGAATGATTCTCATTGCAAAATTAAGCGATCCCAGCAATGATTGTAGGTCTTTCTTAGTGCAACGACCTTGCTGTAGGTAGTGGTCAATACTTGCCAGGATACGCTCAATTTTCTCCTGAGGGAGGCTGGCCTGCATGTGTACTGTGTCTAGTTGTATTCCTAAAAATTGCATCTGGGTGGCGGGCCCCAGGGTCTTGTGTGGGGAGACTGGAACAGAAAGTGACTCAAATAATGCCAACATGTGTTTTAAACTTGTGGGTGGACTTGTGTTGTTCTCAATTGTGAGGAAGTCGTCTAAATAGTGAATCACAGAGGGACATTGGTAAACATTTAGCAACAACCAACATAAAGCCTCTGCAAATGTGTCGAAAATACGCGGGCTGCTCTTAGAGCCAAAAGTGAGACGAGTGAAGAAATAGTATAACCCTTCCCATTTAATGCCGTGAAGGTGCCAAAGTGTAGGGTGCATAGGCAGTAGTTTGAAGGCATTTACTACATCCGTTTTGCTTAACCATGCCCCTGTGCCAGCTTTAATGATAGCCCCGATGGCATGGTCGATAGTGGCGTAATGTAGTGAAAACTCTTCAGATGGTATCAGTGAATTTAGGCTAGGGACCGTGGAGGAATGTGGTGCGGATAAATCAATGATCAGCCTGGGTTTAAGTGAGTTTTTCCCCGTGACAATCCCAATGGGATTGGTTCTCCAAGAATTGAAGGGTGGTGAAAGGAATGGACCCAGCAAAAAACCTTGTTTCACCTCGGTTGTGATAAGTTTAAGTACCAGCTGTGGGTCATCCCGTGTGGAAAGTAAGTTGTCACATTCCAGTGTGCCTGTAGGTAAATGTATCAACCCTGTGTGAAATCCCTCCGATAATCCTGTTATGAGATAGTCGCTGAAGTGTCGTGATGGGTGTAGACGTAGCAAATCGGTGAATAAGCTGAGGTTCACGCATGTGAGATAGGGTTTTGGGAAAGCTTTATTTGGGCACATTGTCTTGGAATGAGCCCTGAAACAATGTGAACATGCATGCATTAGTCTACAGGAACTAAAACCACAATTGCCGGCATTAAAATTGTTACATACTTGGGATTTCCCTAAGAAGACAATATCTCTTCCTAGTTTGTCTTTCAAACCTTTATTTGATCTTGGGGGGTTAGTTGCTGCTTGGTTTTGTTCTACCTCAGCTGTATTAGGGCAGAAATTTGTGCTGTGGGTTGCTGATGAGCATACTGCACAAGTTGGGGGCCTGAGGCCTGCAAAGTGCCTACAGAATAGCTCAGTGTCCAACTTGCTCCAATTGATGTTTAAGTTGAACTGAGCCAGAGCTGCTGCCACTTTTGCAGAGAAGGAACGGTGGTAATCGTAAAACGCTGTACCACCGTATTTGTGTCCCAGATCCACCAACTTGTGCATGTACGTATCCAGCTCGGCTCTTTTCCCTGGGTATACAGTGCAATATACATCCCTATAGATGCCAAACCCTAATACAAATTCTGGGATGTTCAATTTTTTGTTTAGGCGAGGGTCTCTAGCTCTAAGGACTACGGAAACATCCCCACAAGCAAAGGTCCTGTTCTCAAGGACATCCTGGGAGGCAATGAGCAATGAAGCTAGGTTAACGTCCTTGCCTTCCAGAATGTCTTTTTTAAGGTGAGCTGGGACCATGTGTGAAGGATCAATGGATTCTATGTCAGCCGTAGCTGCCAGGGTATTACCGGGTAAGGTATTAGCAAGAGGCTGAGTGGTGACCGTTGCATTTGTGGACTGAGTAACACTACCGGCCTCCAATTTGTCCAGCCTGTCGCTGATTGTCCCTATGGATGCCATAAGGGACGTCATCATAGCATGAAATGCTGGCATTTGCGATCCACTAGGGCCTTCCCCTGCATCGGAGTTGTCAGTGGTAGTGTATAATAGCCTATACAACTCCGCCTTCCTAGCTGTAGCCGGGAAAGGGATGCAGCGTCTTCTTAGTTCAGATGTAAGACGTGGTATGGTCCACGATCTAAGGGATGCAGGGCTATTCACGTCTGTACCCGGAACAGGGGTGGCAGGCCTAGCGGGTGTGCTAGTTAGTGACAGTTCTTCAGGGATATCAGGCGTTAGTGACATAACTGAAATTATAAATATAAACAGTCAGTCGTATAAAATGTATTGTGGGTGGGTACTGGTGGGCTAGCTAAGTACCAAGCGGTGAAACAATTAAACTTCTTTTGAGAGTGACAGATGAGACCCTGCTAGTTGCCAAGCGGCTTGAGAGGCACTATCTATGCGTGGGCCCGAGGGGAAGATTGAGGCCACCGAACGTTGTGGCGGGGTGTAGGCCTCTCGGTGTCATTTAAAGCATAAAAAGATTGGGAGTGACAGGTGAGGCCCTCTCTGTATATTGATGCGAGGCGGCTAGCTATGATTTGGCCCGAGGGACGTATTACCTCCGAGTGTGAGGTTAGGGATGTTGGCCTCGCGGGACCACTAGCCTATGGATTAAGACCAGAAATATTTTAACTAATTGGGCCACCTAACCTGGGACCAGTACCCCTCAATATTTTAGGGTATATTGGGTTCTGGCGTAGTACCTGATAGTGAGTCAGGCTGATCTCTCAATGACGTAACTGTGATATTTGTCGGGTAGTTGACCTATAGATATAAGATGATAAGTAAATATCTGGAAAGTGGGGTGGTAGTTAGGCCAGATCGTGGACCAGAACCTACCCGATAACTGCGGAGGAGATATAATCAAAAGAAACCGGCTCCTTGCTTGTAAAAGCTACCGTTCCAATG